CTGATTAGGAACAAGGAGGACAGGAGGAGGATTTTTCTTTATAGCAGGAAACAGACGTTTAATTATAAAACATGATTTATTTGATGTTAATCTGTATTAGTTTAGTGTTTTTTGTAAATATATTTGACAGTTTTGTAGGAATGAACACGTTTGTAATGTTTGTTCAAAATAAACCTGCTTCTTATGACTTCTTATGTTTTGAATAAAATATTATCAGTAAAAACCTCAAATCATGTCCTTTCTAAGAATTAGAACTCTCTTGTAGATATAAAGGATAACATTTAGAAAATGCAATTATGCCACTATCAAAAAAACTTCCTGTCAGTCACTGAAAATAATTTATTTACCACATTTTAAAGATAGATTATTATCTGGGCCCTTAAGTGTTAATGTTCCTGAACGGGACTGTCTGACCTTCAGTGTATGTGAGACAGAGGAGAGGAGCTCCATGTGAGTCCAGCAGGACCTGTACAGCAGCTGATTCTGTCTGGATTTGAGTTTACAAACTACTCTGGTTACTGTTTTCAAAGTTAAGGGACATTACAGCTGCGCTGCTGATCAGTGATATTTATAGAACATGAACGGACTGGCAGGTCCCTGGTCGCACGCGGGGTCTGTAGTGGTGATTCTACATTATTGATAAGGTAACCATGCTGTGGCTTCACCTGTCGCATTTTCTTTTAAAGAAAGAAAAAGTAGCTTGCAAAGCTGTCACATCAGTGCTACGTGATTAAAAGCTGAGTTTTCATCGCGCGCACACACACGTCTTCATATCTTTGTGAGGACCACACACAGTGCTCAGCCTCGCTCTGCACCGTCTTTTTCCCCAAGTTTGGCAAGAGGTGAATGTGGAGGGACGCAAAAAGTAGCTCTCGACTTGATCTGGACTTATTTAAATAAAAAAGACTACGTGCTGTGAAATTCTTAGAGGGGTGGGCCGTCTCGTTGGCGGGGGGCCCCACCCCACCTGTATAATGGTAGGGGAAACACTGGTGTTGTCTCTATTACCACTGATGGGACACCTTCAATGACAGGGTGAGAAAAAGGAACAGTTTGTCGACTAAAAGAGGACCACCCAGACTTATCATCATATCCCTGTATTATCCAGCTGTGTTCTCTGCTCATCACTCTCAGAGGAGGTAGTGAACACAGTCACTAAACTTAACTTTCTCCGTGCTTCTTCATCTCTTCAGCACCGCCTGCTTCGTGAGGTTTTAAAACAAGTGAATGCAGAGACCATGACTTGCTCCTGTACTCCAGTGTTAGATGACTAAGCAAAGACCGAGTGCTGGCACGACATGAAATCAAACAGTTTTTGTCACATCAACAAAGTCACAAGGCCAGTGAGTTGTTGCAGTTTGTGGAGGACAAGAAGAACATGGAGAACATCAGTTTTCTTGCTGACATCACAGCACGAGGTGTGCTGTAATGACCTCAGCTTGAGATTACAAAAAAAGAGCAGTGACTTGATAACAGACGTCAAGTCTTTGCAGAGAAAACTCGACGTTCTGAAACAGGATCTCCAGCAGGACTGGACACATTTTCCCTCACTAAAGGAAATCCAGGGTGCTGCTAACATGACATCACATGCTGCTTTTGTACAAAAACTGATTGAAAACTTCAAAAATCACTTTGATGTCTTTGTTAATCCAAATACTGTTTTATGTTTAAATATCATAAAGATCCTCGCTGTAGTTGGTGTTTAACTATTGTCAACAAATGTTTTACAAGAACACATATTTACCTTACGTCATATTTTTAAATTTCCTGTCAACTTGAAGATTTTTGAATAGAACCATGGTGGGAGGTGGTGGGCTGAGGCCCTCCCAGCAGGTTTGTCTGGTTTTGTTGGGGAAAGCCTGATGTCGAGTAGAGAACTAGTATTAAATCTAACTACAGAATGATTGTGTTGTGGTTCAGGACCCTGCTCAGACTGTGGGGAGCTCCAGCTGTATCACTCAGATGGAGTGTACTGGTCCTAACGGGGACGACTTGTACATCAGCTGCACCATGCCCTCCATCGAGCTGGGAACTGTGGGAGGAGGCACCAACCTGCCCCCCCAGCAGGCCTGTTTACAGGTATCTTCATTTATTGATTTCATTAAGCACATTGTTCAGTCACTGGATCATTTACAGGTTTTATTGGTTTCTTGCTCACCGTTAAACAAACCATCAACATTTCGTATCTGTACTGGAAGTTCAGCTTCAAACCAGTTTAGGTTCTGTATCAGTGAGGTACTGTGTTTCCACATGTTCCTGTGGAAACACAGTAGGAAGCTGCTGAAACTGTTGGAACAACTGAATTTTAGCTAAATTGTTAACATTTAAAGGCACAGTGTGTAGGATTTGTTGTTTTCAACAAATTCCTCCTCCCTGGTCCTCCCCCCACCCCCACCCCCGCTTCCAAACGCAAAGGAGTTGCTACAGTGTCTCTCAGGTGTCAAAAACCTTTGATAATTCAACCGCGATGTCTACCAGCAGCTTCAGGGCTAGTGATGTTTCAAGTGGTAAGATTATGAGCTTTAATAAGTAAAATTATCCCAGCTACAATGACAGACAACAAATATTACATTTATAGTATTACAACTAAAACCCGTGAGAGAGAAACAAGAGAAGAACCCGTCCAGAGGACCTATACAATTTTTTTCTTTTTTACAACTAAAACCCGTGAGAGAGAAACAAGAGAAGAACCCGTCCAG